GCCAGCTGAAAGAAAAATAAAAGGGAAGACATTGTTCCCACCTGGTCCTAATTTATGTGGTAATTACTGAATAAGATAGGGCACAAAGCGAGTAAAAGAATTACCGGTAAATCAGAAGATCAGAATCTGATTTTAGAGGTTAAGTGATAAAAACGTGTACAATTTTTTTTTTTATTGTGAAAAAATGATGACTGAAGGGTCCTAACTAGGCTTTTGAGACCTGTAGCTGTTGGACCTATGCAGGCTGATTATCAGAGCTGTGAGTTCTGGTTCTGGAATAGGTTAATCTGTTCAGAAGAAAATTTATACCGCACAGTGATATGGTAGACAGTGGTTCCGGGTATTTAGAAATGCACAGAGTAGGCTAATCTCACATTATAATTGGCCTTTAATTAAAGGTACCCAACACTTTCCATTAAGATTTTTTTTTAAGAAAGTTTTTTTATAAAGTCCAACCTTAACTATTTGGGTTAAAAATTTCCATGTTGGATGTCTGCCTGAGGTTGAATTTCTTTTTTAAATTTTTAAGAAAAATAGCTTAGATATTTCTGAAAACAAGATAGGAGAAAAATACTTTTTATCCCACATTTAAAAGAAAACTTAACTGTTTTATTGAGATGATCTAGAGTCTGTGTGTTTTGGAACAAAGACTTGAAATTAGGGATATAAATGCCCATTAAAATAGTTAACCAGTTTAAATGAAAATTTTAATTGGTTAACTGTGGAGGGCTGGTGTACAGTGCCTGGGGTCCCCCGCAGCTGAACTTCTTCAGCCCAGCCCTCGATGGACAGGGGGCTGCTCTGGCCGGCCAGGGCCTTGCTGCACTGTGAGTGAGGAGTTGTTCTGGCCGGCCAGGGCTCCGCCTTGCCATGGTCAGGGGGCTGATACCCCAGCCAGCCCTCAGGTTAACCAGTAAGTATGAAGGCTAATGCTTACCCGGTAACCTTTTACATGACTAATTGAAATGAGACCGAAAGATTGCCTTTGTTTGAGCATGAGCCTTTTGCTATTCCTGTGAAAATTTACCAAAATGTAAATATATAAGCCTTCAAAAAATTATACTATGCAAATATTGTAAGAGTTTGGCAGATATAGTTTCTGCACATTCTACCTACATTAAAGCTGCAGGAGCTGATCATGATCCCTACAATTGTTGCTTCCAGATACTACTCCTTGGCACTAGACCTTATGGCACAGAGATTCTTCTGTGCTGTCAGTATTGCCACCTGCTGTCCCCAGGCAGTGTGGAGGAGGAAGCAGCCTGGATTTCAGAATGAACAAGAGGGGACTTGTGGAGTGGGAGAACTAGTAGATTGCAACAACAAGCCTGGTGAGGGTGCCTGGGAGCTGACAGGGGTGAAGGAGAAGTATAGGAGCAAGGAGAATGGGATTGTCTTGGCACATTTACTAGGATGGGAAATGCCTTACCTTCATAACTACAACACAACTCATCAAAAATGTCTTGCGTTTTTTTCTTACCCATCTGTCCATCAGCCTGTTAACATTCAAATAAAGTCTTGTCTATGCTGTATATTTCAGTCATCAGTGGCTTGCCAGTGTTTTAATCCACCAGTGCAAACTCCTAGTATAGACTAGACAATGCTATTCTGAACTATTTGCTCTGATTATCTTAGCTGTGCTGGAGACTCGACTGGTCATGAATAACTTCAATAAGGGCAAAATTCTGGTATAGATAAGGCCTTTTTGGCTTTCTCCCACTCACATCTTTGCACCTTTTATGCCACACTTGTCCTTGGAATTTGTTGCTATTGTTCACCAAACATCTTCTTTCTGCAGATTCATATCCCTCCTCAGAACATGCTTCTCAAAGGCATCTAACCATGAGATGGTTGGGATGGCAAAACTAAAAATATGCTTTAGGAATTGTTTTAAGAAAGTACTGTATGGTCTGTATTATGTAAGAAAACCATTATCATGATGGTCCCTTTTGGCGTTGAAATCTGAATCAATAAATATATTTTGACTTCAATATTGATGAGATATTCTGCTGAGTAGGAACTGTTTCTTTCATATTTGTACATACTTGTGATTATTTTTCAGCAGTCTTTTCTGTACATGATGCTATCTAAAACTCATCCATCACATTAAAATAGCTTTCAAGCAGTAAAAGCTGTTTAGACCAATATTGATTTTTATGCTTTAGTAAGTATTCTTATCTTCATTACTGTTACAGCTAAACAAAATTTTATATTTTAATCTGAGCTTCTGTTGTAAAAGAAATTTACAGTTTTAACTGGCTCATTGATTTCACGAATCCTGTCCAGGTACAAAATTGATTCACAGGATATCAGGCTCATATTGACTTATTATATAACCAGCTGAAACATGTACATCAGTGAAACATGAAGCATGAGCTGCTCCTTGCTAATTCAAAATACCCTGCATATGAAGGCAAAATTCATCATGGTTCTTCCCCCCCCCCTTATTGCAGGTCAGATGAGTGGGTGTTGAAGGGAATCTCTGGCTATATTTATGGCCTTTGGATGAAAAAAACCTTTGGTGTTAATGAATATCGCCACTGGATTAAGGAGGTAATGAGATGGCAGGTTTGTTATTGTAAAGCATGCATACATTTTAATATAACTATAAGGTAAGCTAGAAATCAATACAGTTTTGCATTACAATTTAAAGGGACATAGTCCACTTAAATCATACTTCTCAAAGAGCACTTATCTTCTGTTGTTACAAGTGTTAATGAAAGAAATCTAGAAACAAAACATTTTTCTTAATCTTTTACTTTGTGTACAGTCAATGTCATTGCTTCCCCTTTATAGTCAGTTTCTTCTGCTTTTTTTAGTCTTTTTCCCATTAACAAGGGAGAAAAGAAAAATATAATTTTTAAACCTGAGATATTACTTGAATCTGCTTCATCTTTCTGTGGTGTTAGAACTGCCATTGGATCTCTCCTTGAACTATGAAAGTAACCCAATAGGGGCTCAAGTAACTTTTTACATAGCATCATTTTTCAAAAAGTGTCTATTATTATTTTAGGGCTAAATCATAAAGGAACTTACGCATGGCAGTGCTGAGTGTTGTGTTTAACTTTTAGATGCCTAGAAAATTACTAATAGAGAGGTAGCAATGTTAGTCTGATCTTGCTAAAACAAAAGGAAAAATTATGTAGCACTTTAAAGACTAACAAGATGGTTTAATAGGTGGGTCTGGTCCATGAAAGCTCATCACCTATTAAACCATCTTGTTAGTCTTTAAAGTGCTACATAGTTTTTCCTTTTGTTTTAGAAAATTACTGGGACTCACCATGCCTGAATTAGGCATTTGTGCTTCCTGTACAATGAATGGAGGCGGAGAGGCTTCTAAAACTAGGATTCACAAAAATCACACTCTATGCAGTTCCCCACATAGGCTAGCCAAAGAATGATGTGGAAGAGAGGGACGTGTCCTAAGTCTCAGCCATTGTTAGGGAGTTTGGCACCTACAGCCAGGCCAGAGGAGGCTTCTCCCTCTGTGGAAACCCTCTCAGCATTAATAATCCTACACCATTTTTTGCAAGAAGCAGAGGAAGGAGAAGGACCTTCCTTTGTCATTGGAGCCCAGTGGCTCCAGGTTCAAAACCCCAGGGTCAAGTTCTCCCTCTACCTGAGTGGGAGAAGGGCTTTGTACAGGAATCTTCTACCTCTTAGGTGAGTGTCCTAATTGCTGGGCTGGGGAATATTTTGATGTGGGGCTCCCAGAATTTTTCATTAGAAAAAATCATTGGAGCAAGAGGACTGAATCCTGGGTTTCCACCGCTAACCAGGCTATCATCATTATCCTTCTCTCTCTTTTGTTTCCAATGACTCTTTCATTCAGAGCCCTGATCTGATAGGAGAGCTCTAAGCCTGCTTACTGGATCAACCTCTGCAGGCAAGTGAAGCCAAGGAGCATCTGTCTTTCCATGGTTCATTTATGGCAGTGGGGCGTAGGTGTCTAAACACTGAGGCTATGTCTACACTCGCAGCTTCTTGCAAAATTATGGCCGTTCTTGCACAAGAATCCGCAGAGCGTCCATACTGCCACTCTTCCTCCCACTCTTGCGCAAGGAAATATACAGTGCGGCGTGGTAAGAGAGGGCTTCTTGAGCAAGAGCTACGCTCTTTTTTAACAGGTGTAAGCCCTCTTGCGCGGGAACTCTTGCGCAAGATCACGCCAGTGTAGACATAGCCTGAGAGTGCAGCTGGAGAGCACAGAGGCTAAAACAGAAGCACGAAAGAAGCTTTTACTACAAAAACTTGGGTGCTGAGTAATATTCCCTCTAATCTTTTCCATCCATGTGAGGATTTTTCATCCACGTGCAAAATACATTCTTTTATGTGGACTGAGGCATGCTTGAATATGCACTACCAGTAGAAACAAAACTTAGCTGTGGACTTTCTGCTAATCAGCTGAGCAGCATTTGAATCTCTCCTGAGCGGCTGCACACACACACATCTTTCAGGGAACACTGGTGCTGAGTGAGTTTAGGAGCCAACAGGGTTCAGTGGCAGCTAAGAGGTAGTTTTGTGAATCCCAATGGGGCCTGGTTCTGGGATTCAGGTGTTTAAAGTAGCAATTAGGTGTTTAAATCCTTTTGTGAATTTAAGTCTTAGGCTATAAAAATAATTTAATAAATCTTATTTGGTTTTGATGTTGTGCCCACGAAAGCTTATGATACCATCTCCGTTTTTTGTTTGTTTCGTGCTGCAGGACTGTTCATTGTTTAAGTTTTTTCTTTGATTTTGTTTTCTATGGCCTGGTTTTGCAAAATACATTTGTTTTTATTTTCCAAAGGGTCTGAAATAATATTCTACCAACTTCTCAAAGTGCACTTTATGATAAAAATCTTATTGACTTGATATCTTGTGGTCTGCCTCCATAATCCCAGAGGGGTCCAATTGGTATTTTGACAAATAATATGTCCTGGGGCATCACAGAAATGTAGAAGCCGACCAGTATGACTCTTGAGTGCTAAAATTAATGAAGTTTGGTATTTAGGTTTTGTTATGAATTGAATATTCTGACCATGTTTCCTCAAAACTTCCTTAGCATCTTCCCAAGTAGAAAAATTAGGCTTTGATTATACAGTAAGTTCTGCACATGATGAGCCTGGTCTTAATAGTTGAATTTTTTGAGTTATTGAGAAGGAATCACTTTTCATGTAACACATTTACCCCTGTTTAACTCTCTCTACAGGCAGTCCCCGGGTTACGTACAAGATAGGGACTGTAGGTTTGTTCTTAAGTTGAATCTGTATGTAAATCGGAACTGGCGTCCAGATTCAGTCGCTGCTGAAACTGACCGCCAGTTCTGACTTACATACAGATTCAACTTAAGAACCCCAAGCTTCCCCAAGTCAGCTGCTGCTGAAACTGATGAGCTCTGATTCCAGGAAGCCTGGGGCAGAGCAACTCTGCCTCGGGCTTCCTGTAGTCAGCGCTGGTCAGTTTCAGCAGCGTCTGAATCTGGACGCCAGTTACGACTTACATACAGATTCAACTTAAGAACAAACCTACAGTCCCTATCTTGTACGTAACCCGGGGACTGCCTGTAGAGAGAGTTAAACAGGGGTAAATGTGTTACATGAAAAGTGATTCCTTCTCAATAACTCAAAAAATTCAACTATTAAGACCAGGCTCATCATGTGCAGAACTTACTGTATAATCAAAGCCTAATTTTTCTACTTGGGAAGATGCTAAGGAAGTTTTGAGGAAACATGGTCAGAATATTCAATTCATAACAAAACCTAAATACCAAACTTCATTAATTTTAGCACTCAAGAGTCATACTGGTCGGCTTCTACATTTCTGTGATGCCCCAGGACATATTATTTGTCAAAATACCAATTGGACCCCTCTGGGATTATGGAGGCAGACCACAAGATATCAAGTCAATAAGATTTTTATCATAAAGTGCACTTTGAGAAGTTGGTAGAATATTATTTCAGACCCTTTGGAAAATAAAAACAAATGTATTTTGCAAAACCAGGCCATCACTCCTCAGTGTTCATAATCATGTTTGCAAAGAGCTCTGAAGTTGTAAAGCAAAATATATATTATAACAACAACAACACAAGTTCAACCAAGAGTTTTTGAAATGATTATGAAACCTCTAAATGGGGATAGAAAGAAAATGTCCGTCAAGGTGTTAATTCCAGTTTTCCTGTATCTCTTTCTGAAGTAGCTGGTACCATGCACTTTCAGAAACAAAATGCAGAACTAGATGGACTGGTCCAGAATGGCAATTCCTATGCTTCTAATAATGATAGATTATTCTTAGTGGAAATGCAAATCTTAGTGGAAATGCAAATCTTCTTGGAAACAAAATCACTCTCTGATACTGGTGAAGTCCCTTGTTTTTACTCATAAAAACAGGGGAAGTTTATGCTGTAACAAAGTGAATAGCAAAATTCCTCTGATATATTATCAGCAAATGAATATTAAACTGAATGAGAGCTGTCTGGTCTTCATTGTAATCTTGTAAATATTGCTAGCTCTTTAAATTAGCAAAATTACTTCACATAAATTTCACTTGTTATTGTTCAGATCTGATCACTAAGAAATGGTCACTTTATAGAACACTGGAAAGCCCACTAATTAGCCTATTCTGCTTAACAAAATATACATTTTTACATATTGTACTTTTCAGGAGCTAGACCAAATAGTGGTATATGAACTGAAGACTGGCGGAGTTTTACTGCATCCAATATTTGGAGGAGGAAAAGAGAAAGACAAGTATGTTTGTTTAAACTATAAGTCATTGTAGGGTGTGTGTTTTATGAGGCCATTAATATATACTTTGTGTGTTGAGAGGCACAAGGCCAGAAACTGAAGGACTTCAGTTGCCTAAAGCCTTATAAAGTACATTGTGGGGGTAGTTTATCACTATTGTTTTATGAATCTCTAATTTTAAAATATAAGGACAGTGATTTTTATTGAATGTTTTAATTTTGCTGTGAAAATCAGGGACATGAGAGAAAAAAAGGAGTTACAAACTTAATTCCTGCCATTTTTACAATGACTTTTTTAATCATTTTTAGGGGTTTTTTACACAAAATTTATGGTGAAATTGGTGACTGGATTTGATTTTCTTTGCTCTCTTGTTTCTGATACCATGTCTTGTTTTCTTCTCTTTTGATGCTGAGCCTTTGTCCTGTTAATTAGAAAAATAAAACTAAACAGCAGACCAGCTGTTAAGAACCACTGCCTACCAAGAAAAGGAGAATGTCTGGAATACTTTTCTGCATTCAT